GGAGGGCGAGGGCGACGAACCGCATAGACATGCGTGAACTGACCTGCACCTGTGGACGAGCTGTGGCGGTGGCCGGCACGATTGGGCACTCTTCGGCGCGAAGTTCTTTTTTTGAGCTTAGCCTTCGATGTATGAAAACAACGCAAGGCGGACATGGCATATCGCTCTCGGGCTCACAGACATCCCTCACACCCGCGCACACCCGCCGCCCCCGCGCGCGCCCCACCCCGGCCGGGAGAAAGGGGAGTGACAGTTTGGGATTGCAAGCCCGAGTATGTTGAGTCCTGGCTCAACAACAGTTCTTTTTTTACTTTTTTCGTTGCTTCTAGTTGACCGCCATAAAAACAGTATGGCGGTGGTTGGCGCGAATTTCTTTTCTTACTTTTCGTTATTGCTCCCTTTGTCTGCCATCTGCGGCAGGAGCGTGGACGCGGCTGAGCACTCGGTGCGAGGAGAGGGCATGCGAGGCTGCCAGGCTCCCCAATCAATCTCCGGAATCCCCCCCCCCCCCCCCCACGCCCTAGGGCGCTAGGGGACCCGCGCCGGCCCAGGGGTCAGCCCTTTACCTGCCTCCTCCTCCTGCTCGCGTGCGTGCGCGCTCCTCTTCCGCGTCCTGAACAAGGATGTTTGTGAAAAGATAGACAAAAAGAAAGAAAAAAGAAAAAAATCGCCCTGCGCGCGCCTCACTCAGCAAGACAGGCAGGCACGACGCTGGCGCCGCCCGCGTGCCCAAACGCTGCACGCGAGTGCCGCTGGCGCAGCGGCCGTCACACAGCAGTCGCGCGCGCACGCACGCACGCGCGGGCGCTGGAGCCCGGCCGCCTCGCATGCCCTCTCCTCGCACCGAGGGCTCAGCCGCGTCCACGCTGCCCGCGCAGGCGTGTACGCAGTCAGCCAACAGAAATGTCTGTGCCGCCCACGTTCAAGGTGCGGCACTGAGAGAGCCCGCAGAGCGCTCGCAGCTGCTCGCCGTCGTCGCACAACAGCGAAGTCTCACACAGCCTTCAACCCACAGCAGCTTGCCCGCTGCGCCGCAGCCTCTAACCGCGCGCCCTCTCCCCGCCGCGACGCGCAGCTGGTGCTGGTTGGCGACGGCGGCGTTGGCAAAACCACCTTTGTCAAGCGCCACCAGACCGGCGAGTTTGAGAAGAAGTATGTCGGTGCGCCTCGCCCGCCGCGGGCCGCTCTCCCCTCTGGCTCTGGCGCCCGCAGAGCAGCAAGGAGGCGTCAGGGGGCGACGCCCTCCGCTCGCCGTGGCGTTGAGAGCTGCCCGCGCCCTCGCCCCTCGCCCGCGCGTGAACCCGCTCGCCGCCCTCCCTCCCGCAGCGACGCTCGGTGTGGAGGTGCACCCGCTCCGATTCCACACGAACCGCGGCGAGCTGGTCTTCAACGTGTGGGACACGGCGGGGCAGGAGAAGTTTGGCGGGTTGCGCGACGGGTACTACATCCAGGGCCAGTGCGCCATCATGATGTTTGACGTCACCTCGCGCATCACCTACAAGAATGTTCCCAACTGGCACCGGGACCTGGCGAGCTGCCGCCCCACCCAAGGGGAGAGCGGCGGGCGGCGGCGGCGGAGGGAGCGGAGGGAGGGGCGGCGGGGCGCTCTGCTCTGGACCGCCGGAACGGACGGGGACGCG